ATATATATATATATTTCAAGGGCTAATAAAGCATGTTTAACTTTGTAATAATTGAAAAATATGAGGGATTTTTTTCTCTTTAATCTTATTTAGAAAAGAGAAATTATATTTATTTTAAAATCCATGGGGGTATTTTAGACATTTATCTACAGCAGCTCTTTGAAAGCTGAATTTTTCAAACATGTCAACTACTTCTGAAACATTAATTTTCAAACAACAGATTTTTCATAGCAATTTTTGAACTGAGATTTTATACAGCCACAGTTGAAACAAACGCACCCTAAATCTCTCTATCAACTTCTCTACAACCATCCACCTAACTACCCCCACCTCAGAGTTTTCGGCTGTCTCTGCTATCCATGGCTACGACCACATACACCATAATTAGCGCCCTGTCTACCTTGGATACTCTCCCGACCATAAGTGATATAGGTGCTACCAACCCAACTCCGACAAACTCTTTATCTCTCTCCATGTATCTGTTGACAAAAATGTTTTTCCATATCAATCTTTTCCAACCACGCAACCTCTTCCACCATTACCAAACACTTAAACAAACCCTCTCCTACTTGTTCCCCCACAAATAACTCCACCAGCGCCAACCCCCCATATCCCAAAACCATACGAGCTCCCCCACCCAAACCTCTGAATCCACCCCACCCCATGGTCACCAATAACACACCGGACACCTAAAACATGTCACTAAGCTCAATCTCCTAAATCAACTCAAACTCTCACTAGATCCTACTACATGCACACAACCTACTAAGCATTGTCACTAGAGGACTGCTATGAATGAGGAGTTATTTGCTCTTCGAGCACAGGGCACGTGGGTGTTGGTTCCACCTCCACCGAATCAGTCGATCCTCAGGTGTAGATGGACTTATTGCACTAAAAACAATTATGATGGTATAGTGGCAAGACATAAAGTCTGTCTTGTGGTGCAAGTATACAATAAAGAAATGGAGTGAACTGCTATGAGACATTAGCCCCGTGGCTAAGATGACGACACTCCGAGTGCTCTTTATGGTTGCTTATCACAACAACTAACCGATCCTACAATTCGACAACTCAAACACATTCCTTCATGGCACGCTACTTGAAACTGTCTATATCAAACAACCACCGAGCTACATTGATTCTCAATCCCCAAATCACATATGTCTACTCAAAAGGGCTTTATATGGAGTTAAACGCTCATCCAGACAATGGTTTGTAACAATGTCTACCATCTTCATCAACGAAGGTTTCCAAATCAACAAGATGAACCCGTCTCTCCTCCTCTTGTATAACACTAACCCACTTATATATGTCATTCTCTATGTTGATGATGTCCTCATTAAAGGGCAAAATATGACAACAACTGAAGCTCTTACTACCTGCCTAAGCTCTAAATTTAAAATCAAACACCTTGGACCCGTCTCTCGATTCCTTGGCATTGATGTTACACGACAAGATGACTCTTCATTCTTAGAATAGCAAAGCTACCTCACTCAACTCATCCAATCTGACATGCTCAGTTGCAAAGCTGTGCGACACCATTGCCAAGCAAGCGAGAAGGCAGCCCTTCTAACTCACGCTGAATTTTGCCAACTTACCAGAGCACTCCAATATTTGACCATCACACATCTAGATACCTCATTTGTGGTAAATCATTTGTTTTAACACATGCATCATCCAACAATTTACCACAACCAACTCCTATAAAAGATAACCAAACCAAGTGAACTCACACTCCACACCAATAAGGACACTGATTGGGCAGATGATTCAGCAAACCGTCGATCGACTACAAGATATTAGACATTCTTAGGTACCATTCCCACATCATGGGTAGTCAAAAAGCAGCATACAGTTGCTCGCTCCTCCACTAAAGTCCAGCATTGCGCGCTAGCGGCAACGACATCCGATATACTATGGCTACAACATCTTCTTGAGGAATTTAGAGCTCCACAACAAGATCCCATGAAAATCTCATGTAAAAATCTCTCAACAATGGCCATTGCCACGAACCCAGTAATTCAGGCTCGCACCAAGCACATCGAGATTGAGTACTACTTCATCTGCGACCAAATACAATCCAACCTTCTTCAAATTCACTACATCAACACTCAAGATCAATAAGCGGATATCTTTACTAAACCATTGCCGAAAAAGAAGTTTAAATTTTTGCAATCCAAGCTTTAAGTTTATTTCAAACTCCATCAGCTTGAAGGGGCTAATAAAGCAAGTGGACTAGGTTACCATATTTTACTTATGTGGTAAAATATAAGAGTATGTGAGGTACTTAACATTCGCTAAAAGCTTCACTCACTTTCTTACCTGAAGGAATGTATGGATTGTTTTCCTATGGTGAATTAATGGATTCCTATCAGATTTTTTTCTCTTGCTCTCCTCTTTGCATCTTCTTCAAAGTTTCCTTATTTTTCTCCACTTTCTTCACACACAATGCCACATTTAATGGAAAAACTTTTTAACTGCTAACTCCATCTGAATCTCTGATGAGGAGTTATGTGAAATCTAAACCAACTTTGTCCTTGAGGACAACGATGTTCATCCACAAAGGATGGGAACTAATAAGAAAATCATCGACGATAATAAACCAACCCAATCTAACCTACCACAAAAGCCTTAAGAGTGTAGAACATTGGGGTGGCTGATAGGTTACTCCATTGACAGCGACAAGTAATAAGGGTACAACAACAAAAAAAGCCTTAATCCCAACTACGTGGGGTCGACTACATGAATCTTTTTTCTCCATTGCGTCCAATTTAGTGTCATATTTTCATTTAGTTCTAACAAATTAAGATCATTTTTTATACAATAAGCCCAAGTTTTCCTAGGTCTACCTCTGCCTTTCTTAACATAAATCGAATCTAAAACATCTACTC